TTTGAGGAAGACTGATAATACAAAATAAAGAGACCAAAACAAACAAACAAACAGGGAAATAAAATTAGAACAAAGCAGGAATCGGCCAGGCGCGGAGGCTCACACTTGTAGTACCAGCACTTTGGGAGGCTGAGGCGGGCAGATCATGAGGTCAGGAGATTGAGACCATGCTGGCTAATACGGTGAAACCCCGTCTCTATGAAAAATACAAAATAATTAACCAGACATGGTGGCGGGCGCCTGTAGTCCCAGCTACTTGGGAGGCTGACACAGGAAGATGGCATGAACCTGGGAGACAGAGCTTGCAGTGAGCTGAGATCATGCCACTGCACTCCAGCCTGGGTGACAGAGCGAGACTCTGTCTCAAAAACAAACAAACAAAAAAACCCAAAAAAACAAAACAACAACAAAAAAAGCAGGAATCAGAAAAATTTCAATACATTATAATTAATACACTTAGGTAAAAGACATTGCTTCTAAAATTCAGAACAGAGGGCTAGAAACGGGAAAAACTGTAGAAAGAAAAAAGAGTTTTGAAATTAAAAACAAATGAAGAACAAAATTTTAATTAAAAAACTGGTAGTTAAAGTAGAAGAAATGATAATCTAAAAAAGAAAAAGAATAGATAGAAAATCAGGAGAAAAATATAAGAAATATAAGGGCTCAATTCAGTAATTCTAAAAATATGGAAAGGAAATTTATCAAAGAAATTATTCGAAAATGTTCCCAGAAGACACGAGTCTTCAGAATGAGAGATCCAATACAGCAAACGAAAAAGACCCTCCATAAGGTAGATCATCATTTTGTGACAACAGAAATAGAGAAAAAAAAATCATAAGAAACAAGAATCAAAATAGCATTGGACTTCTCCATGAGAGCATTGCAAGATAGAAAATTATAGGGCAATTCCTTCAAAATTCTGAAGGAAGATTTTTTCAGCCAAATATGCTAGACCCAGCCAAACTATCAACTATGTAAGAATGAATAAGATATTATGAGCCTTGCAAGAATCAAGTAATTTACCACCAATGAAGCTTTTTGTAGACAGCTAATACAGAACATACTCCGACTAAACAAGGGAAGCAACCAAGAAAAGACAAGACATGTGATCCAGGACACAGGGACTCCAACAGGGCAAATGGGAAAGGGTTTTCCCACTACCGTTGTGAAGGGGAATCCTAGAATAACAGCTGTAAAATCTGACACAAAGCAAATGGATTAAACCAGGTGACTAGAGACTTCTTGGAGGAGTTTCTCAAAAAGGAAAAAAAAGAATGTTGATAGATTATCTAATTCATTTAACTATCAAGAACATATAATAATAAGCACTAAAACTCTTGACATAGCTGGTATATATTTACTATATTATTTATATAATATAATAAATACTTATATAAGATAAATGAGTTTTTAAAAATAATCATTTCTATATATTAAATATGAGCCATATACACACTAACCAAATGGAAAAATGAGGCAACTATTAATCCCAGGAAAGATGCAAATATATACAAGGGAGGCAACCTAATTCTAATAAAATAATACATCACTCAGCAGAGAACAACATTTATGTCATTATATTAATGCAAACACACTATTGGGAAAATAGGACACAGAAATGTGTGTGTGTGTGTCTGTGTGTGGTCAACTTTTTATGTACCATGATAAGAAGCTAATAGTAAATGACTAAAATTGATATATCAACTGTTAGCAACATAAACATGTTACTTAGAAACATAGAGATCAATGTGAAAAGAAATTGAAATTGGTTACTTCCAAGCAGTAGGACTTTGGATGGAAAAGAGATAAAACAATGTACCTCTGTTTTTCAATAAGAGCTTTTTAATTCTCTAATATTTTAAGCTATGTACAATATCATAATGATGTTTTTCATTTAGTTGTATTACAGGAAAATTTTGTCATTGGTCCCAATGGCATTGTTTCTACCTCAGTATTTTCCGATTATTCCGTAAATGGCACTCTCTAATGCTGACTATCTCTACAGCATCTGTCCTAATTCAACGTACATCCCCCAGTCAAGTATTGCCCCTGGAGTGCAGTTGCATGAAATTATTTGTGCAATAGCAAAAATACCATCTAAACTGTATTTTCTGTGTTCAGTTACAATATAAACTATCTCAACCCATGATAAAAAGCTGTATCAACCACTGAAAGTTTAATTTAAACAATAAATAACCCAAGAAAGGAAACACTGTGGGGGATTGAGGATCCCTTTCCTGTCCCAGGGATCTCTAAATACTATGTAGGTTGCTTTACATTTAGAATTTTCCTTTACAAGGAGATATTGTCTTTGAACTAGCCCAGGCATAGAGAAGCTGTCATGTACCCATTAGGAAGCTGAACTTGCCATCTGTTTTGCAGTGATACTGGGGAGGACATTAGTTATGAACTGGCAGCCTCAATTCCCAAATTCTTTTCACTTGAGAAACATTAAACATTTTGAAACAGACTTCTCAGAGAACAGTACAACAGCCTCTCTGGCAGCTTTTATGGTATTCCTCAATGGATATTTTTGTCCCTCCATCTAAAAACAACAGCATAGAGGGAGGAGGAGAACACATGGGCTCCTCATGGGGCCAGAACTTGTCTTTAAAATTGCCAAACTATCTAGCAACAGCTGTGACCATTGGAAGACAACATCAACTTGAGGGATCACGTGGAATCAGACTCTCAGACGGTGACGTGGACTAGTTTGCAGGAAATGACTGAGTTGAACCACTTTCCTTCTTCTTCCCTCTCTGTAGAGACAGACTCCTTCGGGTGTATCTCAAATCCGGGGTCACAACTCAATCCTGAGGATGCTAAGAAAAACAGCATGGCACTGGCACCTTGCAAAGCAGGTTCACTTCATGGATAAATGAAACTCCATGGAAGGTCATGGATGACTTGGACAGCGAGTGTTCCCTGCCCAGATGAGGCACGGCTGATGGAAACGGCACAAGGATGGAAGTCAGGACAGCCGATTCCTGATCTGCTCTGCACTCGTTCACTGTGTGACCTACTGTGGAGCCAGCCACATCTCTACGGCCTCTATTTCTCAGCTGAGCAACAGGGACAACAGTGATTGCTCCACCCTCCCCATGGAAGATCAGCCAGTCCAGCAGAGAACACATAGACAGACTTGCTGTAAGGGACAAGGTCCTAGACATGTGACATCATTAGGATTTTTTAGTATACTGTGTTTCTCTTTTCAGCATGTTTATAATAAAAAAAAAGAAACAGCAACCCCGAATTCCCAATGTTATTTAATAGTTAAATTATAATAATTTATATAAAATAATATAGTATTCAGACAATACAAATGTTGCTGTAGATTAATACTGATTCTCATAGAATGATTTTATGATATACTGTTTGGTGGAGAAAAATAAGACATAAAACCAATAGGTCCAAAATGATTTTGTTTTTATACAAAAACTAAATATGAAAAAACTCATTTATATTCATATTCATGTTTTTATTGGGAGTCTGGAAATGCGCACCAATGTATCCATGTGAGTTATCTATGGGTCAGGGAATTGTTTTATACATACGCATGTAGTTTATCTATTTGATATAATTTTTGAGATTAAAGAAGATTCATCATTGAGAATAGGAAGACCAGACCAGACCAGACCACAAACTTCAGTTTTTCTTTCAGGTAGTGAGAAGAGAGGTCTCCAATGTGCACATTACCCCACAGCTCACAGCCAAGCTGCCTTCCTGCTCAGGCCTCTGAGGGTGAAACTAGCCGCCCTCCTCACCTCTTAGTTCCATCACCAACACAGGATCTTTCCTTTTATTCCCTGTCGCCACTCCCCAGAATTCAGCCACCATCTAAACCAGAGGCGGTGAATTCAGATGACAGAAGGACCAGGTAAGTACCATGAATGAGTGAACCAGCTTGGGTGTGGGGAAATGTGGCCACCAGAAATGACAACGCCGTCCTGGGAGCCGATACCTTTCAGCTCTGGAAGTTGCTGTGTCTCCCAGTCTTTCAAGAGAAGATGGAAATCTGGAATTTTATGAAAATCCTTTGAATGTTGAAAAGTTAACCTATAATTTTTAAATGCCCTACAACCTTGTGGAATGTAGTTCGAAGACTGTGGACTTGGTGTCAGCCCAGGACTCAACCTCTCATCTGCAGCTGCTTTGTTGGATGGTCTTGAGTAAGTTTCTCACTCTTTTGGAACTCCGGTTTCCTCAACTTTATGTTAAAGGTGGTATATGTATCCCCACGAAGGGGGTGATTTTGGAGGAATTAAATAAGATCATAGATAATTCATGAAAACTGGCCTGGTGCAGTGGCTCAAGCCTATAATCCCAACACTTCGGCAGGCTGAGGTGGGAAGATCACTTGAACCCAGGAGTTCAAGATAATTCATGAGAACTTCCTGGTACATGGTAGGCACTCAATAAGTGTCTCCTTTTCCAGGCCAGCAAGTTAATGGTATAACTAGTGCAATAACCCATACACCTCTATCTTCTGAGTCCCAGTTGTTTCTTCCCCCAACTGTATCCAGGTGTTCCCTTGCCTCTATGGCACTCATTGTCAGAGATATCAAGTATGACTTAACTTGGAACCTGAGCACAGGACTAGCGTTTTAGACACTGCTTTCTCTTCCCATGAACAAGCCACACTACTCCCTGGAGATCTCACTTTTCCTCTCCAGAACAAAAGTGACAACCAGTGTGCAAAGAGGTAATAGATCTGTATTCCCTCAAGCTAAATCACAGCAGGCCCATCTGTGAAGCCCCAGATGCCCATGAGTCTGGGATCAGCCTCTCATTTGATATTCATTTTAAAATGCAGGTTTGATGGTATGATTATTCGGGTATGGCGAGGCCGGCAGATTTTTATGATACAATTATTTGGGGATGGTGAGGCCATTGAAAAGACAGCTTGTTACTCATAGTCCCCAAGAGGAGAGGGGATGTCATGCAAGGCCACATGGGGAAGCACCAGGGTGGGTCAAGAAGCAGGAGGAACGAAGGGAAAATGCAAGCAAGGGCTTTTATTGTGGTTTACACAGGAAAAAACAGGCCAGGCAGGGTACACAGGCTTTGGATTGTCTAGTTTGAGTAATTTCAGTAGGCTGCGGGGTTAGAGACCGTGTCTAGTTGTCTGGTACCTGGCCCTAGGGTACTTAGGGCACGAGGAGAGTGGCCCAGAGTATGAGAGGGCACAGAGGAGGTGGCTGGGCTATGGGCTCCAGGTCAGTTTGTATATGAAAGGCATGCTCCTAAGCTAGGAATGGGCTAGCCCTGGCAGGGGCGGCTCCTCCAGGGTCAGCAAGGCCCTAGATGTCAAAGCATTAGAAATTCAGAAAATGGAAAGGCATGATTAACACAGAACATTCTCAAATCAGTGAGTATTTGCCCTCTCCACACACCACTGAAAAGATATCAGCATATTGGGGGGTGGGGGGCTTCAGAAACAGATTCCCCATAAAAGAAAGAGTAGGGCATGATAATCAAAGCCTCTGAAGGGAAAGGCCCCCTTGTGTGACAACAGAAAGCCAAGGTGCTCTGATGAGGACAAGATAGAGCAGATCAATGTACCCTCAAGGCCAGGGCAGGGTTGGGCATGCTGCTAAGGAAAAAACAACACACAAAAGAAACAAACCAAAAAATCCCACATTTTGTTTCGTTTTTCCAAGTGAGCACAGTCCCTGGCCTTAGTTTCTAACATCCCAAGTCAGTCTGAGACTAAACGAAGCCCCCAGTCTCTGAGTGAAGAAAGCTACATTTGGATCCAGACATTGTAATGGAATGAAAATTACTCTGCTTGAGTGCATTGACCTTTATCAACCATTTCATCAGAATTTCTGGAGCATGAATCTGTTAGACATCCTCTGCAACTGTTCGTAGGAAGAAGGATCATTCCTTTCTGGCTCAAGTCCAAAGGATCTTTCTCAAGCAACCAGAGATGGGGAAAGCAAAATCAAATCCACAGACAGTTGAAATCTAGTTAGGGAATGGTTAGAGGAGACAACAAAAATAACAGTCAGGCTGCAGAAGTCGCTAGAGGATACTGTTTTTCTTCCCGTGGCTGCCTGAAAAAAACAATTACATTCGCAATATTCCTCCAACTAAGGCTTGGATTCAGTCCTATATAACATGCCGATTGCTGGTTTGAGGCTCTTCTTTCAGGCCAAGTAGATATCCAGGAAAGAATGGTTCGTTCGGCACACATACACAAATCCATGCTCATAAAAAAAAATGCTTTTCAAAATAGTACCAAGATTGTAAAGACTGGGCAACATCTTACTATTTAAGAAAAAATATTTATTTGCAAGAAATGGAAATACAAAAGCATAACAATTTCAATTTATTTTTTTCCCCAAACTAAGTACAAGTGTCCTACAAAGCTTTTTTTTTTTTTTTTTTTTTTTGGTATTTACTTAGCTATAATAAAGAATAAAAAGTCATTTAAAAAACGCGATAGGACAGATAACAGACTCACAACCTATTTAGATTTAAACACTGCTGGTCTACGTAACCTGTTACAAAAAAGAGCAAAACCTAACTGTCAGCATAGACATTAAAGCTCACTGTTGATTATAGCCCAGGGTCTGCTCAGCATTGTTTAAAAAGGGTCACTCACAGTTTTGTCAAAGAGTGCCGGTGTTCTCCATGAACTCAGAAAGTGTTTTATCCGAAAAGGTGATTTTCTAAGTAGTGTAAGCCATGGGTACATGGTGCAAAAAGTTCATGTTCTCACTCAGCTGGTGAGCAAAGGATGGGAGCAGAGAACAGAGCTAAAACCCCTGGTTTTCCTTTCCCCAGATGTAAAGCCTGCTAGCTGGAACTTACAGAAGATTGGAACAAAAAGGTAGGAGATGGACACCTGGGGGGCTGCTCCAGCATGAAGGGAAGCAATGAGCATTGCACAGCAGGGCCATTGCAGGGGACAGGTGCTATAATTCCTGCCCAGAGAACTTGAAAGCTTACAGTGTGATAACAGGAAGGAATCGGCTCAGCTAGTCCGGAAATTGTTGCATTTCCCACATTACTTAGTTCTTTATTCATCCTGTGGTAAAGAGTCATCCTTGTTTTCTGTATCTATAAAACTGAAAGACTTAACACTTACTTAGCACAGCTCCCAACACCTTAGTAAATGCTCAAGAAATATTATTTCCCTTCCTTCTAGAAACCAAGACTAAATAAAACATTCCTGAATTTTATGTTGTCCAAAGTAACAAAACAAAACACCACCGAGTTTTTCCCTGTGCTAAGTACCGACCCTTTGACCACAAAGGCATGGAACATTAATCTTCAAATGGGCCGGGTTCCTTTGCCCTGAGAAATGTTCCACTGTGAGGATTTATAATACCTTTAATCCTGGCTGGTTGTTTTTCTGATGTGATTGCACTCCTGCAAACTGGGATTTTCCTAATGGATGTAACCCTATTTCTTTTCTCCTGATGTGCAAATCTGATAGTGGCTCACTTTTAGGAAACCACTTTTCAGCCTTTGGAAAAAATTCTTTCCCCCACACCCACCTCAATCTAGTAATGGAAGAATATATACAAAATCTCCCAGCGACGAGGGATTCCTCAGTCATCCTGGATTTACATATAAGGCACATTTAAGGCACAAATGAGCATGCAAGGGAGGAATGTGAGTGTGTGTGTGTCAGAGAGAGAAGGAGGGAGAGAGAAGCATAGGCATTTGGGTGTTTTGAATAACTATTAATGTTTCCTCAATCCCTTCTATTCCCTGATATTCCCCAGGGCCTCAGGCAACACTCTTCCTTATGAAACTGAAAAGGCTTAGGAGTAACTGAATGAATGAATGAATGAATGAATGAAACATCTAAGACTTGTCTCCGGATCCTTCACAGCCCCCACATCACCACCACTTACTCCCTCCTGTAACTGCTCTCCCAGTGGGGCCTATCCTAGCATGTGTCTATGGACAGCCTCAGTTGAAGGTGGCCAAACAAAATGACTCTCAAGAGGGCACTACCTGCCCACGGCTTCACAGGTCCAGCCAGCCCAGCGAGCAGAAGGGCTGGTGGATTTAACCCAGGTTTCTTAAAGACTGGCTTTAACAGAACCAACTGTAGTGACTTGGGGCAGATGAAGGGGAGGATGAAGGTCTTCTCGTGCATCTCTGCCCTCTCTGTGTTGGCAAGGTCAGCATGAATGGGCCATTATTCAACTGGGGGTGGGATGTCCCCATTTCTGGACTGTGCTCAGTTTCACACCTTGTATGACATGTGTGCAGAGGAGCTGGCCTGGAGAGGCCTCTGATTCTGCCTCTACGCTTTTGCTGGGTCTGGGGACATGGGAGGGAAGAGTCATAAAATGCTGGAAAACAATTTTAATAAAACACTTGTGAAAAAATGCTGGACATTGACTCCCTGCCAGAATAAAGAAGAGCCAATTCAACATCCCAACTTCATGGGCACGTAAGATTCACAAGCTGAACCGAGAGATTTAGGAAGAAAAAAAAAACATGGTAATTATAGGGGGTTTGTGAATAAGTTGAACTAAAAGCTGCTTTCACAATCTACAAATCAGGGCTCCAAATCAAAATCATTTATATTAACCAAAAGGTTATCTAATTTTGCCCATATTGGTGTCAAATCTCATCCCCACTCCCTGCCAAAAAAGAGCAACCTAGTTCAGCTGTCGGATTTTTATATAACACTCTCTTTATGTGAGCTAGACTCCAGAGTCCTCACACTTCACAGAAATTCTTTCTTAAAACTGGCACTGCAGCCTTTCATTTACAATATCCCTTTTTAAGTGCAAAGTCGAGAGCTGCGAAAAGAACCACACTGGGGGGGTCTGGGTTACGCAGGTCTTATCCAGTGAAAAATTAGTTCTCTGAATCTTTGCAAGATAGCTCTTTCACTGGTGCAATCTAAGAAAGGGAAATGGGAAACCTGTTTACATGATGAAAAATATAATTAAGAGATTTACTCTTTATTGCTTATGGTCGCTCTGACAGACTCGTATTTCTCAAAACTTACATTCAGGAGCCAATGTCTGCCACTATTTGAAATCTTTAGAGCTAATCATAAGTTAATGACTAGTCTAAGAGGCCACTTGATGGGGAAAACAAATCCACTGATATTCTGGTCTTAATTCCTGAACAGAAAATGCGCACACATCCATTAATTATTTGGAACCAATCTGGTGCTATACAACTCTTCTGCGTCCTCTTGACCCCATTGTGTCCTCCTAAAGGGACAATTGTTAGTTCCTTTAACTCACTCAAGCAAGGAGTGGAGGGCAGAGGTTTATCTAAAAGAGCAGTGATGTTGGTTCTTGGAGCCCCCTTAAAAGGGCCATCTGAGCTCTCTGGCTAATGTCCCATGTTTCTACATAGATTTCGTTTTGGAAGGACAGTTTCCCAGAGAAAGAGTCCCGCTGTTTGGAGGTCTAGACAGAGTGATGTCAAGCAAGGGTAGGTAAGGGAGAAAATAAAATCCTCAAAGCACTAAGGACAAAGCACAAAGCACTAAGGCTAGAAGTTTCCTTTACCTTCTCCCTCCTCATTCAGAAGAGCACGTTTTCTACTCTACACCCGGGAGCCTTGAAAACCCACTCTGGTTCAGTTGCAGCAGGTACATGAACTGGCTCATTCTCTCACTTCTGCTCTTAAATTTGAAACCTTTCCTTCCTCATTGCCCAAATCTACTTAAGTAAGTAAATCTTATCTTTTTGCCTTCTTTGGGCCCTATGGCTGCCTATGCCTGATAATGACCTGACAGTTTAAAAGAGAGGGATGGGTCAGTGGAGGCCCATTGGCTACCAGACACCAGCCAGGCCCAACAGGATCTGGCCTGCAGACAGTGGAGCAGAGAGAAGCAGAAGCAGAACCTGCTAGCAACCCTGCTCCTGCACAGCCCAGACAGTCTCCACCCCGGCTAATGTGAGGGACAACAAGAACCCTCCAGACAACAGGGCTGCCAGGACTACAGGGGCCCAGTCCAGCTTCCACTCACAGTGAGAAGATGAACTTGGCCGCGTTCCAGGCTGGAACCCTCTCCAGCATAGCAGAGAGAGGGGAATCACTCACAGGGAGCCCCAAACGGGCCTAGACAGACAAGGCAGGGCCCCGCTTATGAGATACGATGACAAATGTTAATAACATCAAATCCTGTACCTGATATGGAATGGAAGCCAGGTTGTGGGCTTAATCCCTCTAAGTACAGGCTCCAATAACAATGCAGATGACGTGTGTGTGGTGGAGGGGAGAGAGAGAGAGAAGGGGAGAGAGAGAGCGAGCGAGTGAGAGAGAGAAAGAGAAGCCAAAACCAAAGGCATTTCAGCTGCTCCTAAAAATAAAATACAAACTCTATGCATATTTCTTACACAAAATCTTTCCTAAGCTGGGAAAAAAACACTTGAGGGTCTTCTACATTATACAATAAAAAGGCAATTTCCATTTCTTATTTGTATGAAAGAGGAAAGATTTTTTTAAACTACAAAAGTTACTTTTAATCATTAAAAAAAAAAAAAAAAAAAAAAACTAAAAGTAGGTTGGGGGTTACGTTGTATCTCTTTGGGCGAGCTGCAAAGTAGCCAAACCTGACTATCAAAGGTAAGAATGTGGATACACAAATGTCACCCACCCCACCATGCTTTGTGCAGGCAGGGGACGAGGAGGACAAAGTGGAAGTGTGGAGGGAGGAGGGGGCCAGGCAGGTGTGGAAAGACAAGCCAGCAAGGCTGTCTGAAAAGTCTGTTGTCAGGAACAGGGCTTCCCTTCTCTGTCACGAAAACAGGATAGAAAAAGCTTGTGGCCAGGGAGCCCCGGGCCTGAGCGAGGCATGGTGCCATCTCTCGCTCTGAGCTCATCCTAGAGGCAGACATATACATGCTTAAGGGAACTTCTTTTTCAATGGTTATTATTCCAGTTAAAAGAAAAAAAAAAAAAGGAAAGGAAACAAAACATTGTCTGGAAAGACAGGGGATCCCAGAGCCTAAGGTGCCCTCCTCGCTCTGAAGGCTAGCAGAAAACTTGGCTAGCTTGAAAGGAGGCACTGATCTCTTCAGTGTGGTTGCTAGCAGGAAGCCTCGGCAAGCTAATAAATACTATTTACAAGTGGGGAGGAGAAGCCAGGGAGGCAGAACTATGGATGTGTGGGGAACCAGGTTGTGGGAGGTCCTAAAAGCGACAAGATGGGGCAGGTTTGCCTGGAGTAGAAAAGCCTGATCCCCTCAGGCATTGCACTTGCGGCCTGAGAATATGAACGGGAGCCCTCGTCTGCCAGTGCTGGTGCAGAAGACAATCCAGCGAGGGCTCCCAGAGGGCAGAGTGGGTGGAGGGCTGCCATCGGGTACGTTCACATGGGAGACCCCAGTGCGAGCAAGGGAGGACAGGGGTCAGTGCTTTGCCAAATACCAACAGGCATCATGGCATTTTTGTGGCCAGAGTCTGGGGTCTTGACTGAACAAGAGCCATCTCGTCTCCAAAGCGGGAGCAGATCACGCCTCACAGGTGCACATTAGGCAGTATCTTTTTGGCACTGTTGGTGGAAACAAGCCTGCTTGTCCCACTTCCAGCCCCTAAAATAATTTCCTATGGCAGTAAGAGAAAGGAAGGGAGGGATGCAGGCTTCCTTCTGCACAGGAGGGGCATGGACCAGGGGGAGATGCTCTCTCACTGCAGGGCAAGTCCCAGGCTGGCCTCCCATCTGAAGCCACTAATGCTTGCCCATGTCTTCATGAAGATCCGGTGGCAAAGAGGAAAAGCTGATGACAAAGGTGGTTTGGGGATGTAAAAGTAGAGTTAAGGGAAAGGACGGGGTGCAGGCAGCCTCTTTAGAAAGTGGTGTTCACTCTTCTGTCGAGTTCTACAACTTTTAGTGTTTCATTTCCCTCCAGTTTGGCGCTGACCCTGTGAAGGCATTAAAAGGAAAAAGAAGTATTAGTCACCAGCTGTTAGCTACAATTCTCATGCTTTGTAGTGTGATGCAATCATTCAGGGGTTGTAACTTGGTGAGATGGCCTGGGCATGTTTCTTGTCCTCTTCTCTCCTAGTAGCAATTCTCTATTTCCAAAGTCCCCTGCTACCAGCCTCTCCACTGGTCCACATTCTTGCCTTTATCCCCACCCAAGGCATCCCAGTCCTACTAAGGATAAGCATGGTGGCTTGATAATCACCTGTTATGAGATGCATTAAATTATTCTATTTACTTAGGATGTTTAGCCCTATGCTAAACTCAGGGAAGGAGAAAATAAAATAAGAGCCGATCCTTGGCCTAGAAGAGTTAATAATCCAGACAAAGATTTTTAACAATGAGCTATTTGAAATAATAATAAATCCATAACAGAAAATCAATACATTATTAAACTGTGTAACGACATGGAAAATCTGTAGGCATTCAGAGGAGGCGAGGAGGCTCTGTTATCTAGGAGACATCACAGAACAAATGGGATTTGAATGGGGCCTCGAACAGCTTAGCTAAGAGGAGAGAAACTGTGTCCAGAGCCAAGTAAGAAGGCAATTGGGTCTTCTAGAGAGCCCAGCGGTGGCTACATTGGGAAGTTTCTCTATGACGGGAATAATAATGATGCCTTACCACCTGGGATAGCTAAAAGGATTTGTATGATACTGTTAGCCCTCATCCAAAAATCTAAAATCTAAAATTCTCTAAAATCTAGACATTTTTGAGCATTGACATGATGCTCAAAAGAAATGCTCACTGAAGCATTTTGGATTTTTGGATCAGGGATGCTTAACTGTTAAGTATAATGCAAATATTCCAAAATCTGAAATCTACAACACTGCTGGTCCCAGGCATTTCAGAGAAGGGATACTCAACCTGCCTCACATCTATAAAGTGCTTAAAATAGTAAGTGCTAGTAAATGTTAAATATGTATGTATAATGTACACACATAAAAGTACTTAATTATAAACCATCCCCTGCAGAATTAGGGGATGAAAGCTGAAGAATCTGAAACAAAATCTTTCACATTTACATTGGAATGGCCTCATTTCTGGGAAGCACAGGAGCAGAGTTCAGCTAAATCACCAACCATGCCACACGTAACCAGGAGCGTGCGTGCAAGCCCAGGGACCTCCCCTACCACAATAACAATACCTTGTCGTCGCATAAGCCTTTATGTTTACAAAGGGATTTTTCCCAGAAACTACCTAAGAGAAACAACTCATGTAGAATTGGAGCCAAATAGAGGTTGTTTTCAATGTGGAAATGCATGTCCAGCGCCTCTTAAATGGTACCTCAACATACATTTATAAGTATAAAACTATAATAGCTATAGCTTTAACACATATAACAAATATACATATAGCTTTAAATTATATGTATATTTACATATAAATCATAAACATATATTGACATATAGCCCAATATATATCTACTCCCTAGTTGAAGCCACAGAACATGTCTTAAAGTTGGATTTGCACAGTAAACACATTGTGGTTACCTGGGCTGTGCATTCACTTGTGTGGCTTGGAAGGGAGGGTGGAGACAGTGGGGGAAGGGATTCAAGCCCTTCCTCCACTTCTTGATGCCATCACGCCAGCTACCCACTGATGCAGCAGACATAGGGGAGCTCATGCTGGGTTTTTTCCCCATCTCTACTCAGGGCAGCTGTTGGCCAGCAACAGACTCTCCGCAGTCCCAGGTCCTGGAAATAGGTCCTGAGAGAGCTGAGGGACTGAACCAGGCCTATGGAGAGTCTTGACCTCACATTCCAGGTTGGTGACTCATAACCCACCATCAGTGCACTAGAGGAGTTGGCTCTGTGTCTCTATGACTCACAGGTGCTGCTGCAGCTCCAAGAGCACTGACTTCTCCAGGCTGGTCTCATTCGAGATAATGAAATGGGGAAGATCCACATCCGGCCTGGACTCCAGCGTTGACACCCTGAGCAGGGAGGAACCTCTGTCCCAGCCCCCCAGCTCCCCAGCTGAGCCTGGGCTGGACAGCTCTTCTTGGGGAGAATGTTCCTCATAGATCAGCAGGTTCCTGGATCTCACTGAGGACAGAGCAGAATAACAAGGTGTTAGCAAAAGACTACGGGGGTCCAACACATCTCCTCACACCAGGTACTAAGGGCTGGTGGCAGATGACAACGTGTGGGTTCTTGTTGCTCAGAACTATGGGTGCCAACAGGATTTGGCTTTCTCTAAAGACTTTAGAGCTTTGGAGTTTGTGCGTTGAAAAATTATACCAATTATACGGTACTGGAAGAACAATAGAAAAGCAAATAAACACAAGGCAAACTACCACCCCCACTGCTTTGAAAATATAAAACTCCCCTCCTTGCCAGCCATAACCATCTAGGGAACATGATTCGTGGAGAATGGGAATGGAATACTTGCAGATGTCCAGACCCAGCTAAAAGAAGAAGCATCCCCAGTGAGTAGGTCTGGCAGGGGGATGAGGTACAGGGCATTTCATTTAGAAAGTGAAGAAGAGACACAAAGCCAAAGCCATACATCAAAGGACAGACAATCTCCTTTGTTTTGTAGGACAGTCACACAGCTAGATGGCTCTGTAGCAATTTTCCACGACATAGAAACTATGCTTCCAATTAAATTTAGAGAGAGAGTTCCTTAGGGGGAAAAATTCCCAACAGGCCACTGAAATTATTTAATTGGAATGCCAGCACTTCTGTCATACCTGGCAGAGATGCACCTGCCTGGTGAAGGCCACAGATGTTTCCAAATGGCAAAATTTTCCCTATCCCAAATATAATACAGTAGCCCCTTATCCATGGGGTATACGTTTCAAGAACCCCAGTGGATGGTTGAAACCGAAGATAGAACTGAACCCTATGTATATGGTATAAGGTATATATTACAGGAAAAGCCATATTGGGTTTATATATGGGCATACAGCATATAGGGTTTATATGCCTTTTCCTATACATATGTACCTATGATAAAGTTTGATTTAGAAATTAGGCCCAGTAAGCAATTAACAACAATAATAATAAAATAGAACAACTCTAACCATATCTTCCAATAAAAGTTACATGAATGTGGCCTCTCTCTCTCAAAATTTCTTATTGCGGTATAGTCAGCTATTTTCACATAACTGCAGGTATTTTCATTGACTGCAGGTAATGTTTCTTATTTAGTGTATTCAGCTATTTTAAGGGAACCGCAGGCATTTTTATTGGCTGCAGGTAGCGTTTCTTATTATAGTGTATTCAGCTATTTTAAGGGAACTGCAGGTATGTTCACTGGCTACAGATAACTGAAACCTTAGAATGCAAAACCTCCTACTGTACCACCTAACCCCACGCTTCTTCCTATAGGTGTATGTATGAATTTGTGTGTGTATTCCTTACTCACCATCCCTTTATTTCTAGATGAGAACACCATACACTTCTTATCTGACACCTGAGTCCCCAAATTCTCTAGATCTTGGGCCTAAGGTTTTGTAAGGCAGGCTGATTATTTTTGTTTGAGATGGAGTCTTGCTCTGTCGCCCAGGCTGGAGTGTAGTGGTGCAATCTCTGCTCACTGCAACCTCCGTCTCTCGGGTTCAAGTGATTCTCCTGCCTCAGCCTCCCAAGCAGCTGGGACTATAGGTGCGAGCGCCACCACGCCCAGTTAATTTTTGTATTTTTAGTAGAGACGGGGTTTCAGCATATTGGTCAGGTTGGTCTTGAACTCCTGACCTTGCTGATTCTTTTTTTTTTTTTTTTTTTTAGATGGAGTCTTGCTCTGTCATCCAGGCTGGAGTGCAGTGGTGCGATCTTGGCTCACTGCAAACTCTACCTCCCAGGTTCACACCATTCTCCTGCCTCAGCCTCCCCAGTAGCTGGGACTACAGGCACCCGCCACCATGCCTGGCTAATTTTTTGTATTTTTTAATAGAGGCAGGGTTTCACCATGTTAGCTAGGATGGTCTTGGTCTCCTGACCTCATGATCTTCCCGCCTCAGCCTCCCAAAGTGCTGGGATTACAGGCGTGAGCCACCACGCCTGGCCCTGACCTTGCTGATTCTTTAACTTCACTTTACAAGCCCTTACCATATACATTACATTACATTACTCATACAATCCCACTCAGTGGAGGCAGAAACACAGCAGTTCTCTTAAAACGTCACAGAAAGCGACAGACTCTGTCCCTCATGTACTTCCCTCTCCCTTATCAGAACTCAAAAATTAGATGTCAGAATGGATCAGGGAGCACAGTCTAGAACAGTAGTTTGCAAACTGTGCTCTGTCCAGCTCTAGAAAATTCCCAGTGATGCCTCAGTCCAGCGGATGAGGGGCCCCAGGGGAACCCCCACTTGCTTCTTCTAAGGGAGAAGCTCCACTTTTACCACTTTTTAAACACTGAACTTTCACAGAAGATTCCTTTTGGAAGGCTGAGAAACCCAGCTCCAGGGAAATAAAACAAGACCCTGCCCAAGTTGCCACGTGCTGTCTTACCCACGGAGGCTGTGTAGGGCTCCTGCAGGGAATGCTGGCTGGGCAGAGCCATCTTGGTGGCAGAAGGATAGGGCCCATAGCCTTGAAAGAAGCTGCCGAATGCAACAGCAAAGCACAGCACCACAACCTGTGGGGAGAGAGAGAACACGAGGGGCTGCAGACTCCAGGCCCTGGACAGCACAGCTTTATACCCTGGGAGAGCCAGGGACACAGACGCTCCTCTTCAGGCCGGTGGGCTGCACCCACGGGTAACATCACCGGAAGGCCTCACCGAGGAACAGCCTCAGAGTGGAGTTCCTCCGTGTGATTTCTCCTGCTGCACAGCACTTGGCCTTGGTAAGCAGAGGGAGAGGGGAGACAGGGGCCAGGCCAGGGGCGGTCACGGCACCACCCTGCTGGGAAGCTCACCATGAGGCAGGTGCCAGTCTGCGTGCCGGCTAACTTGCAGGTTCGAGAAACCTTGCCCATCACCAAAGTCTGAAGCTTCTGGAGTTGCTGAAGGAGAGTCCTGCCAATGATAACAACAGCCGTGAGGGGAGTCTGACAGAGAAGAGATGCTTTTTGATCTCCCCATGTGACCCAGAAAGGTTGCCGTGGCTTCATGCCTGCATTTCAACAGAGCCCCAAGGGACAGTTTCCTCTGGAAGAAGACACGAACACCAGTGCCTTCTAGCACTGTTGTCACAGAGCTCACTGGGGCTCAGAATCAGCCTTCACACTTGAAGGTCCTGTCCTTGCACTGCCCTGAGTTAGAAGTAGCTGCCTCCACATTACCCCTGACAGGCTGTGGCTTGTTTCTCAGCGATTGAGAACAAAGGAAAAGGAACACTCTGATTGGATGGTGGCTGAAGTCTGAATGGTTGTGTCTCTCCTAAATCCCTATGCTGAAACCCAGTCCCCTATGTGATGGTATTAGGACACAGCACCTTTGGGAGATGATTAAGTTATAAGTGGAGGCCTCATTGATGGGATTTGTGCCCTTATAAGGAGCTGAAAAGACTAGAGTGCTTCCCTTCCACTATGAGAGGACACAGCAAGAAGCTGCCTCTTGTGAACCAGAAAGCAGGCCCTCGCCCAACACTGAATCTCCCAACACTTTTATCTTGGACTTCCCAGCCTCCAGAACTGTAAGAGATCAATTTCTGTTGTTTATAAGTGACTCGTTTATGATATTTTGTTATAGCAACCTGAACAGACTAAGAAAATGTTGACTAAAAGAAGAACTCATTTAACCAAGAGATGAGAAACATTGACAAAAACATAAAAAAGGGACAAAGGCAAAGAGAAGGAAAAATAAAAAATGACCAGCAGAGAATAACAGAAGGAGTGGCCAGGGGTGGGGGGCTGTAATTAGAAATGCCAATTCAGAGTAAGAGGCATTCAGAGGCAGGTTGGAAGAGAGAGAGAAAGGAGAGGAAAAACAAGCACAGCTCTATTTAGGGCAGAGAGGCAAACAGCCACCTGCAGCTCAAGCCTATGGTTCTTAAAGGCTCACAGCAACTCCAGAGTCAGAAAAGAAGCCAACATATGAAAGAACAGAGATGCCTGCTCAACTGGACCCTCATGCCCAGAGCCAGGGGTCTTTAAAACCATCCTTTGAAACAGACTCTAGCCTTTCTCCAGGAAAAAGACAAGAGAGCAAGAGTAGGAAAAAAAAAAAAAAGGAGACATTTTATCCCTAAAATTGGACAACTGTGCCTCTCCTTAAAAGGCAAAGTTTGAGGGATAAGAACAGTCTTATATACTCTGCTCTGTGTGACATCAGCACACAGAAAGAGCAGATGGTAAAATTCTTTGCAAATTCTGAACACTGCAAGGCGTAGAAAAGGATCTGACAACACACCCTCCTGAGTTACAGCACCCGGGATGAGTTCCGTGTGAGTGGTGTAAAGAGTTGAAGCTCCTCCTTACCCTCATCCCCCACCCCCAAACCCAGTGCATATGGCAAAGTGGAAAGATATGATGAGCAGATGCTCTCTCTTGGGTCTCAAGGATTTTCAGAAAATGCATGCTGTGATGTAACAATGTTAGACAGCCACATAAGTTCATTGGAAAACATCATCAAATCATTTATTCACAGAACACTGTGGGCTTTCACAGATAACTTGCTTCTCATCACAGTCTACCCCTGAATAGCATTCAGGTGCTAGAAGGACAAGCAGATTTTTCCTGGGCTTGCATCTTCGCCCCCAGCTAGTACCAATGAAACAAGTTCTCCCAATTCAAGCAAATTAAGGACAGGTTGGCCACAAGAATGGTTTTGCTTTCAGCAGTTCAAATGGCTAGTAGTAGTGGGTGAATTGGAGCAACCCTCAGCACACGGAGTAGAAGCTTTCTGGACTCAAAACGCCTTTGCGGGACAGGCGCTGTGGCTCACGCTTGTAATCCCAGCACTTTGGGAGGCCGAAGTTGGCCAGATCACGAGGTCAGGAGTTCAAGACCAGCCTGGCCAACATAGTGAAACCCCATCTCTACTAAAAATACAAAAAATTAGCTGGGCATGGTGGCAGGCATCTATAATCCCAGTTACTCGGAAAGCTGAGGCAGAATCACTTGAACTCAGGAGGCAGAGGCTGTAGTGAGCTGGGATTGCATCATTGCACTCCAGCCCAGGCAACAGTGCGAGACTCCATCTCAAAAAAAAAAAAAACCACTCCTATACGGTTCCATCTACATGACATTTTTCCCAGGTATAGTGATTTTAATTTAAGCAACAAAAAGATCATTCATTCTATGAGTTAATATCACTAAATTAAGTTCTATTTAATGTGAAGATTTTTTTTGTACTTAATTGTACATTTTTGTTTGTTTCTGATTATATAGAAGTATGACTGAATGTAGTTTAGACCTGGTTTATATTTAAATGTATTCAGGTACAATTTTTCTTTTTTTTTTTTCTGGAGATAAAGTCTTGCTCTGTCACACAGGCTGAAGTGCAGCGGAGTGATCACAGCTCACTGCAGCCTCAACCTCATGGGCTCTAGCAATCCTCCTGCCTCAGCCTCCTGAGTAGCCGGGAGGGAATACAGGCATGAGTCATCATGCCCAGCTAAGTTTTTGTATTTTTTTATTTTTTGTAGAGACAGGTCTCACTTTGTTGCCCAGCTCGTCTGGAACTTCTGAGCTCAAAAGATCCTCTCACCTCTGCCTCCCAAAGTGCTGGAATTACAGGCACGAGCCACTTGCGCCCAGCACCATTTTCTTTAAAAGCATTTTGTATGTTTACTTAATGCTGAGAAATACTCAACAGCATAATTACTTCAAATTCTACTTAAAGAAAGTTTGAGCTAAATGGTTCTACGATGCAGCACCTTTCCTTCTTCATGAAGCGTTTTCTCTGTTCTCCCAGGACTTCCCCAGAAAATTCCCTTTCTACCCAACAGCACAGCTGCCTTTTCCTTCTGCACAGCCACTGCCCGAGTGTGCATTCATTCTCACAGTGAGATTTCACTGGTCGGAGCATATATTTGACCGTCTGCCACCTGTAATGCCAGCCCCAAAGCCCTCGCTGGGTGCTCCCTGCTGATATCTCTTCAAGTCCTCGGGTAAATTTACAGGTAAGCCCACAGATAAGACCACACGGCACAAACCCTGTCCTCTTACTGCTGGCCACTCTCCATCGTAGGAGCGCGTCTCTCCTTCCTGCTAAGCTATGAAAAGCGGTCTCCTGTTCCCCTGGCCTGCTCAAGAGCTCCTTCTTTAAGTGATGGCTGCCACTTTTCCTGGCACCTCAGTTTTCCACTGGGCACTCCTGCCGCCCGTAAGCTGGTGGCCTCAAGGTGCTGAAGTTTAGCTATGCTCTGGGCATGAGTGGGTTAACGTTTCTCCATCCAGGCTTCAGTCAGTACCTTTCCAGATGGTACCGAAGCACGTTACTTTTGCTCTAAAGTCTTAAGCTGTTCTGAAAGGGGAAGGACCACTCCATTTTTTACCAACAATCCCTATTGACCTGCGGCCAGCCCATACTTCCTCCCTACCCATCCCCTACCCCTTGCCTGGTCCTTAGAGCATGAATAGCTTTAAAAAAAATCCACACAATACTTGGAATCAGTCCTGCCTTCCAATTTCTGGTTGAGATCTCTGGGCCTGGTACCCCTTCCCCTAGGAAGAACAGTCTCCCAGGAGGCTCCCCAGTACCTCCTGAAAACAGACTTGCAGCAGGCCAGATATATCCAAAGCCCCCTGAAAGAATATCTTAGGCTCAAATTGGAATCCCCCTTTTCCCAGTTACAGGTGTGAAGTGCTACAAGTTGGGAAGAAGGACCCTTTAAGACGGGCTGGAGAGAGCAGGGAGGGCTGGTGTTTCCTGACTGCACAGCACTTTGGTTGGCATTCATGGGCATTCGCAGACACATCCTTTCCCAACTCCAGATGATTATATTCTGAATCCACTGCAAATGAAAATGGTTGTTTAATAGTCCCTGATTTCTAACAGTTTATAATCTAACTCTTTAAGATGAGCAAACATGTAGTTTAAAATACACATTTTTAGTGCGAAATGTTGGTGGAAAGCGCGACAGTGACTAATAATGTACTGTTTGCCATTGGTTCTCCTACTGGTGCTGGAGAAAGTAAAAGGAACTGATGGTGGAAATGACAACATGCGCAAGGCCCCGTCAATCAGCAACACTGAGGCATTTCATGCAGTGTTGGATTTTGGATTCAACCAAAATCCAAACAGACTTCGATGATCCAATAAAGTTTGGGAAATTCATACACATCCATACAACAGAAACACTCCTTTTCATCATAAAAAAGAAAATGAACAATGACAGAGTACTGAGTGCCTACTACTTGAGTTCCAGGAACTACATACACTAAAATATTAAATAATCATCTCAAAGTCACGTAACTAATAAGTAGAGGACCTAAGATGTAAACCAAAACCTATCTGACCCCATAGCTTGTGTACATTCCAACGTGGCACAGCATGGTACCCTAATCAATAACCTACTCAAATTAATAATAAAGCATATCTTAAGTATATTTTTCTTAACTCCAGTGACATTATATTGACACCAGCCCAACTGGCAGATATGTCCACCATTAAATATGAAAATATTACTATTAAAAGAGACTAAGCCTTAGATGGAAGAGCCACAATAAAACCCATTCCAATGGCAAGAAGATACATACTAACAAAATTTCAGTAACAACGACACAGAACCCATCAAGGCAAATGACTATTGTGTGGTATTTTCTCTGGGTACACCAAAGATAAAATGCAGATAATAGATAAAAGAATCAAGGGTACTCCTTGCCTAGTTAAGGTGTCAGGAAGACAAGCCTGGGCTTTATTTAGAAAAATGGAAAATATAAAATCTGTCCCTCTGTCAAGCACCAAAAAAGCTGATGAGATGGCTTTAGAATTGCTAAGCTGATGCATATAGATCAAAACAGGAGGATTGGCTCTAAAGCAAAGACACCTGAGTTTCAATCAGAGGACGACAGATATGTGCCTTTAATCAAGTTAAGTTCTAAGCTTCGGCAGCTACTCAGATGAATTCC